TGGCATGTGGTGCTGGGGGATTGAACCGCGGTCCCTGATGCCTTGCCAAGCTTGTTCCAAGTAGGTGCTTTAGACCACTGAGCCATCTCTCCAGCCCCGGGCTCTGTCTTTTTATGCAGTTCAGGAGCTGGGTTTGAACTCACTGTGTACCCCAGGCCTCAGACTTGCTTTGATCCTCCTGTCTTAGCCTCCTGAGTGCTGGGATTAGAGGTATGCACAACCATGCCTGGCTCAAAGAATAAATTCTAGGGAACAATAGGTGTTAAGAACAGGAAATACTTATTGAGGAAAAGATAGCTCCTTTCTAAGAGCGACAGAAGGGGACCTGGAAAGTGAGTTGCCCACAAGCCCAGTTCCCAAAGTTTTACAGAGAAAAATCACAACGTGGGTGCATAATTACAAGGTGGGTGTAAGGTGGGACAAAACTATGATCAACCAATGAAATTACAAGTATAGTTGCTTAGGTAGTATTGATCCAATGGGAAAGCAAGTCATGTAGCAAGTATGCATGGAAAGAACAAGTACCTTTCCTGAAAGAGATAGGGCAGGGTCTTGGCCCTTCACCCAAGTGACTGATCCCTATTTAGAATATCAGTCATTATCCTTTGTCCCTAGGGAAATAGGGGTATTCCCTTCATCTTTGTCTTAGGTCTGGTCTTCAGCAAATGCACATCCAGCTGTAGTTGTGATGTGTTCTCATCTTCTGTACTGACTCCTTTGAGGGCTCTGCCTTGGCTGACTGCCTATAATTTTTCTAGCTAACCTACTTGTCTATAATACTATGAATTGGCAAATATTATCCAGCCCATTTTATAGGAAATGACACGAAGTGAGGCAGTGAGTGTCCCTCTTGATTAAGATGACATGATCAGTAGCACTTGGTGCCTAGGTTTACTCTAGGGTAAGCCTAGGCTTGCATTCCTCAATGCCAGGAATTATGGTAGCATTAAATGCATATTGCAACCTAATCAAGAACACAGTCATAGAAACTGAAGGATGAGGCCAGATGTAGTGGTGTGTGCCTGTAACCTCAGCACTCAGAAGGTTGAGCCTGAGGATTGCAAGTTTAATCCAACTCTGGACAATTGAAACCGTATTTCAAAACAAAATATGAAGAGCTGGGCATGGTGCCACACTCGTGTAATCCCAGCACTAAGAAGGCTGAGACAGATTGCTGCAAGTTCCAGGCCAGCTAGGCTGCAGAGTGAGTTCAAAGCCAACCTGAACTGCATAGTGAGATCCTGTGTCAAAAGGAAAAAGCTGAGGATGTCACTCAGGGTGAAGGTCCTGGGTTCAATCCCCAGTCCCACATAAAAAAGAAAAAGTTAAAAGTGTTCTCATCTCTTAATGCTATTTGGCTGCCCCTCTTGCTTTCCTTTGTTCTTCTGGGAGTGTTTCCTTAAACTATGAAGCAGCTGCCACTGAGTGCTGACCAGAGACTCACTAAAATCAGACAAGATGCTTAAGAGGAGATATGTTAAGAAATGACTCTTGTTTGTTGACTCTTGAGGGAAGAAGCAGTGAAGAGAATTTACCTTCAGAAGACTAGCTCTATTTTTCCTTTAAAAATGTCAAAAATTCACATCCAAGTATCTTTTCTGCACCGGAAGTCAAACATCTGACTGTAAGGAATGACCTCTTGTTTCCTCATCTGTGACAATCTTGTTTGAATGCGTTGCAGAGAACAGAAAAATCACAAGTACAACACAGGCACTCCACCAAGATAAACAGGAAAGCGAACTTGGAGTTCTGGGAAGAGCAGCTGAAAATCCGAGACATTTTCTAACTATAGTTTAGAGTTGTGCACAAGTAGGTGTCACTGGGAAGCAGCACCTGCCATGTGTCTAGGGTCCTGCTGGCCACTCAGTGTGCGGGGTACAGCCCAAGAACATGGTGTGGCTTCAGTACAGGGTCTTTGTACCTATATATGATATGTCTTGTTTCTTCTTTTTTTCTCATTCTCCTTCCCTCCCTCAGCCCTTCTTTCCCCTCCTTATTCACAAAAGCTTTATTTCCAATTTTTTTTCTAGTCCCTTCTTTTCTTGCCCTTTCCCCTTTTATTGCCCTTCCCCCTTCCCTTGTTCCCCATTTTATATTAGGAGCATTTTCTTTCCATTTCCCAATATCTATTTTATATTTTGATCCTTATTTACACAGAAAGCTAAAATTTTTAAGTGAAGCTTTTTTTTTTTCTCAGTACCAGGGATTGAACTCAGGACTTTGTGCTTGCCAGGCAGGCGCTTATTCTACTGAACTATCTCCCCAGCCCAGAAGCTTTTTAATTTATATAATCAAGAGCCTTTCTGTGTCACCACGTGGTCTCTTTCCTGCTATGATACCACCACCATGATGTGATGCAGCCAGAACCCTTGCTGCAGGTAGCCCCATGCTACACAGGCTGTTGACTTCCAAATCCAAAGATAAGTGAACCACTTTCTTGACAAACAACCCAGCCTCCGGAATTTTGTAATAGCATCAGAAAATGCACAAAGACAGCATCTTAGAATTCAAATGGAGTTAGTTCTATTATGCCTACATTTTCTTTTACATCCTTGAGCATATTTATAAA